GTTATTGGTTATCTGCTTCTCATCTCATAATCAGTCATTGGCTCTTTATTGAGGCTGATTTTGGAGTTGTAAGTTCATGGTAAACATCTTAATTCAAACTCAACATTGCTCCTCCTTTGCAGTGTTTTCTACACAGAAACCAAATAAAGAAATTAGAAACTATAGGTCAAGATTTTTTTCAACACTTGTTGGCCTTTCCTCTTTATTTGGCTGAATCTTATAAAATCACATCTCCATCGCGAAGGATTCAGTATAAAAATAAAGTTAACAGCTAAAGAACGCATACAATATCATTATTCAGAGTATTCTACGAATGTGTGTGCCTATTGTGAATAAAGTTATTTAAAAAAAAATCCGTGCCTGTGTGTCACTGTCATCCACCAGACCCTACATTAAGCGGCGCCACCTGCTGGTGCCGCAGGAGAACCTTTTTCATTACGAGCAGCACCACCAGCATCAGGAGAGCTACTAACACACATAACGACGCCAGCAGGGAGACGACCAGCACAGAGTCTTGTTGTGTGAGCGGTCGAGGGTCCAGAGTGGGCCGGGGTGCATCTCTGTTAGTAGAGAGCAGAGATCGAGTCCCTTCAGCAGGGGTTGTGTTAACGTGAGGAGGGGACCCACTTGTGATGTTGTCTCTGCATTTCTGTTCCTCAGCAGGGACTGAAGTGGTTTTTAAATCAGGTGAGCTAGATGGTTGTGTTTTATTTAGGGACAAACACTCCTCATAGGTGAGGGTCTCTAAAGAGTAGTGGTCAAGTGTCACACGAGTCTTATGAGCATCTTTGGAAAGAAGTCCATCAGTGGTTTCTTCTGATATCAGCTCTGACACTATTCCCAAATACTGCTTGGGTTTAGATGGGCTTGGTCCCATGGGCTTCACTGTCTCCAGGGCAGAACTCAGGTCCAGTTGCTGTGTCCTCTCGTTGGGCTTCACTGTCTCCAGGGCAGAACTCAGGTCCAGTTGTTGTGTCCTCTCGTTGGGCTTCACTGTCTCCAGGGCAGAACTCAGGTCCAGTTGCTGTGTCCTCTCGTTGGGCTTCACTGTCTCCAGGGCAGAACTCAGGTCCAGTTGTTGTGTCCTCTCGTTGGGCTTCACTGTCTCCAGGGCAGAACTCAGGTCAAGTTGCTGTGTCCTCTCGTTTGGCTTCAGGACACGAGGACAGATGGCCATGACGGACAGATCCAGAAGCAGGCGGTGAGCGAGATGGACCGGCTCGCTGCAAACCAGGTCTGTGGCCCTCCTCACCCTGCCTCTCAGCAGCCAGCGGTAGAGATACAAGATGTCACACTCACACACCCAGAGGTTGTTGGTCAGGTCCACAGATCTGAGGCGCGGCAGGCCGTCGAACGCGCTCTCTGGGACCGAGCGCAAGCAGTTGCTGTTGATCTTCAGGACCTGCAGGTTGACCAGAGCAGACAGAGAGGGCAGGTCCAGGACCGAGATGCAGTTTGCTGAGACGTCCAAGTGTGTCAGTGATGGAGGGAGATTTAGAGGGAGGCTTGTAAGCTTGTTGCCCTTCAGAATCAGGACCTGCAGCCTGGGGAGACCCAGAAAGGCCCCCGGTTGGATGGCACTGATGCGGTTTTCCTCCAGATCCAAACGAGTGAGGTTCCCCAGTTGTCGCAGGGCGCCTGAGGTTATAAACGTGATGCGGTTTTCTTGCAGCAGCAGGGACTCCAAGCTGGGGGGGAGGCCGCGGGGGAAGCGGGGCAGCAGGTTGTGACTGAGGCTCAGCTCCTGCAGGCCGGAGAAGGGCCGCAGCAGGTGGTCCACGTTGCACAGCTGGTTCCTGGCCACAGAGAGCGCCGCGGTGCTGAGAGGGACGGAGCGAGGCAGCGACCTGAGGCCCAGAGACTCGCACAGGACCAGGAACCCTGGGCAGCAGCAGCCGGGGGGACAGGGGGAGGGGAGGAGGCAGGCCAGGGGACCGATGCAGAGAACCAGGAGGACATAAACCTTTCCACCACATCTGCAGCCAAGCATGACTCACTGCCAGGAATAATGAAGACGACCACATTAAACACATTTCTTACTTGCTACGACTTAAAAACGGGTACTTCAAATTGCTAATAACGGGTTTATTAATGATAATTAGATATGTTAACAATGCTTTAAGCATCAGACATTACCGAAGGCCTCGGGAAAATATCCCAGATATCACTTGTTTTCTTTTTTCACCCATTAAACCTTTTATCTCTGACCTTTGACCCTCTAAACAGGAACTACATGAGATGTGAAACAACATCCATGTATTTATAAACAACTGCAAACCTCTTATAAAGCCATTATTAGCAACATATAATAATTTAAACTCATAAAATATTACTTATAAGGCTGAACATTCCCAAAAAGGAATTATGAAAGGCCCACACACACTTACCATTTCCTCTTCCTGTTTTATCGGCTCCTCAGCGGAGATGAGCAGGATTGTCCGCACGTGGCCCCCTGTCTCTCTTCAGATATAACCACCGATGAGAATTCCTGGCAGATGCTCATCAAAGTTTAACGGCAGCCTCAAGGTGCTGTGTTACCTATTCTGGATCCTCTTCACCTCTCAGAGTGATTGACAGGTCTGTGAAAGAGGTCAAACTACACAGAGCAAGAACTTCAGCTAGAGATGTCCTGTTAAAGAGCACACGGGTATCCCAGATATATCCTGATCTGACGTTACCAAACTTCCTGTACACAGTCAAATGTAGACCTCGAACAGACAGTGTTGCTGGGTGGTCCTGCAGCTGTGTGTCCTCCCGTCACCAGGTGGGAAGAGTGAAAGTGAAGGGGTTGTACTTTCTCTAATTATTTAGCACCTCATTGACAAAAGAGCGGGGAATCTGACCCCGGTGCGAGGCTCTGTCAGGGCTCACGTTTCAGCCCCCACAGGATTACGTTAGCCTTAGAGCTGCTGTCGTCATGTTGGATGTTTGATCTTTGAAGAGTGGACACACTTTTGATCCAGAGCAAACTTTTTTTATTAATGGATTGTGCTTTAGGAATATTAGCAATATGTAATCAAACTTTAATAATGTCGTGACACATTTTAACAATATATTTGCATATGTGTGAACCTGTATCAATGTAAAAGTGGCGGATGGTGTAGAAAGAAGGGCATTCACACACATAACTGATATCAATACTTCACACAAGGGTTCTTTTTCTTTGCCCTTTAAAAGTAAGAAACCCAAAAGTATTGTCTTTGAATACTGAAAGAAATCAGAGTCTTAAGATTCATACAGACAATACGTGAGGGCTTGTTTAGGATCAAAGGGCTCTGTATGGATCTGGTTCACTGCTGCTGAAATATTTAAGCAATCTTGTAGAGTTGCCAGTGAAGGACAACGGGGCCCTCGTCATCTCCAGGCTCCGATACCTTCTGCAGGCCGGGGTCCAGGTGTGATGGTGCCTCGCCACGGCCAACCATAAAAATGTGTGTGTGTGTGAGAGAGAGAGTGTCTATGTGTGTGCACAGCTTGGCCTTGTTAAGTTGGAAGACAGCTCCTCCCACCAGTGAGCACATATACAAATCTGACATTTGGGCAATTACCTTAAAAATAGTTACCCATGATTCTTCAGTGTATGCAGCTCTGAATTACAGTCCCGAGTGGAACATAATGTTCAAGTAGTCATCCCTTTTTTCTTTTAACCCTGCCTCGCCTTTTCTAATCTTAGGTTTCTACGGAGCTGCATGTCTTTCATCGTGAAACCCTTTCCACCATTTTCAATAATGACAGAAACGTTGTTAACAACAATTTTATTCAACACAAGCAAAACAAAACTGTCACTTACAAAGGAAGCATCTGTTTGGAAACATCTGAGGAAAACAATCTGAGGTTAAAAAGTATTTAAAGAGAAAAGTCTGGCCCATAAGGCATAAAAACTCACACGTTTAGAGTCATTGACTTCAGTAAGGGGACAGTAAGATGGAGAGTTTAAAAAAATCTTACATTTTAGTCAAACAAAACCATAGGAATATCAAAACAAATACAGCTAAATATAACAGCAAAACAGGCCAACGATCTATCCCTGTACTCAAGCTTTTGACCCATTACTAATTATAACATTAAAGATAAAACCCATTATTTAAATTAAACATAAGTATTACTTATTAAAATTAAATAAAAACCTGATTCACAAAGTTTTTGTACCCCCCCAAAAAGCTGCTTCTTTTTTTTAAGGCAGATCAGAATTATCAACCAAAATAAATATGTATACAGATAGATAATATATATATATATTTGTACTTAATGTAACCGGTAACACAGTTGAAAATTGTGCTTTTGGTGTAAAGCTTTGTGAATTAGGTTTGTGAAATAAAAAGCAATAGGATATGACGTAAAAAATGAAATAACAAACGAAGATAAGTAAATATAAAAGTAAATAAAAAGAGATTGTTTTGTTAGAACAATCCGGCTTCTGGCTTCTCACTTTGCTTTATTTACAGCAGCAGAGGTGAGCTCTAAAGAGGTCAGAGCTCTGAGCCGCAGGAGAGACGCCGAGGCGAACAGCAGGACGTACGAGGAGATCCCTCGTCAAGGCAGGCATGAGTCACACATCTCTGTGTCAACAACACACGGATACTGATCTGTCATTGCTTTTAGGGAGCCATGGAAAACCATAGGCTGACCATTTATCAGCATTTTTATTTTTCTCTTTTAAAAACGATTGTATCCATAAAGAAAAATGGTAATTCACGGTTTCAAGTGATGCTACCTTAATGGCACAGTAACATTATATTAGTCACTTAAATACAAAAGATAAGACACACATATGCCTTGTGATGGATAAAAGATCCATGCATTATATCTGTCTCAAAATATTGACTTAGTATTACAATAATGATAATCTTTCTGAACACAATGACTTACTTATCTTATAATCATTAACTACTGGCCAACCACTGCAAGACTAAGGACCACTGAGCCTCTTTAAACTGAAAGGTTGTCAGCAGGTAAAAAGAAAAAGCCATTATCAATTGTTGGCTTTTTAACCCTTTATATAAATCAAAAACTTTAAGATGCAACTTTTGTAGACAGAATGTATGCAGCTAAATTCAATAGTTTAACTTTTAATTTCATTCAGATCAGATGAGAGTTATATTTTGGGAGTGAGCTTTACAAATACATTTCCTGCTGGCTGTTGTTATCCAAAGGTATTTCAGATTCCAATCCCAATGACTTCTTTCCAAATGTGTACAGTATAACCAGTCAGATCTTGTTGTTCTGTCATGGTTGCCACCATCAGCCCTGACCCCTAGTGGTGACCCTTCTTCAGGTGGCAGGTGCAGACGGTGCAGGCGGGGCTGGTGCTGGTGCTGGGGCTCTGCTGCACCTCCTCCCTGGGCCTCGGCTGCTCTTTCTGTTTGGGCTCCTCTTGGCGCTTTTCCACCTCCTCGACCTCCCGGACCTTCTTCACCTCCTGGCGAGGCGACGACCGGACGTCCCGCCCCCTCTCTCCCACCAGAGCCTTGGAGGGCTGGCGCAGGGTCTTGGGGGAGGCCATGCTCTGAGTCTGGACCCTCTTGACGTGGTCCACGGCGTAGGGCCTCTCCACGGGCTCACTGGAGTTCTTGGGTGCGTTTGTTTTGCTTGCCGCAAGCTTCTTGTTTGAGTTAGGGAGGGGTTTGTAGGCTTCCAGCTTGCGCTTCTGACTCATGGCAGAGGCACAGCAGATGATGAAGACCATGACGATGAGTAGAGAAGTCACAACGATGATGATGAGCAGATGCTCCTGCAGGAAGTCCACCACTCGGGTGAAGACAAAGTCCTTCAGGCGGATCATGGTGGTGGTGATGGTGTTGGTGATGGTGGCGGTGAGGCTGGGGGGTCCCGTAGCAGCGGAGATGAGAACGGGGGCTCGAGTGGTGAAGGAGATGGGAAGGAGCTCCAGCCCTGCTTCATCCCCACTGCCGTCCATGGAGATGTTGTACAGCGGAGTGGCATGACACAGCGAGAGCAGGGTCACACAGGTGGCAAGGAAAAACGTGTGGGACTTCATCTTCTCCTCAGCGTCCTGCAACAACACCAACATCATGAATTTAGCATAAAATAGATTTATTTGTAATTCTTATCTTGAGGAGATCCACTGACTTAGTGACTTGTGACCCCTTGGAGGTGAGCTTTGCAAAAGACTGACAAATCTAGCCTGTCTCTGTCTTGAGGTCACAGAAGTCCTCTAGCAGCATTGTAAAGCTCAGGGATAAACATTGCATACACTTTCTTTAATCCAAACACAAGCCGATTTTCTTTTAAAGGGAGTTATAAAAGGTACAATAACTTTTTCTTGGCGAGCAAAAGCCTGGTGCAGTGACTTCCTGGAGTCCGCCGGTTGGTGTTTATTTGAACTTTGGTTAACCACGCTCCCTGTGATTTGTCTTTATGCAAAGCTAGGCTATATACCTCCTGGCTTAGCTAAATATTTATTGTAAACATGAGAGTGTCAATCATCTTAATCTAACTATTGGCAATAAACGTGAAACAATTTCTTTAAAGAAACGGACCAAGAGAACAGACGAAGAAGACAGAAAATATAATGTAAAATATGAAGTTGTTTGGAAGATTTTTAATAATCTTGTGATCCCTGGTTTTTCTTGGGACCCGTTTAGAAACTATACTCACCAGTGTCAAGCAGTGTTTAATGTAAACTATGCTAATGAGAGAATAATAAGAGCTTTTTCCATCTGAAATGTAACTCCAGTAATCTTTGACTCAAGTTTTTCTGCCTTTCCCATCTTTCACCAGATCTATTTTAGCAGGCAGCAGAGTAGCCATTACTTATTTGGGGTGGAGACAGTGAGTTTTGGTGCTGAAGGCCTTATAATTTGTAAAGTAGAGGGAGGCCCATCCACCACACCAAAGCCAAGAGGAAGCTATATTCCAGGGAAGCACAGAGGCGTGGGAGACCTGCGGCTGCGGCCTCTATATTTACACCGGGCAGCAGCTGCTGAGCACCAGCCGAGCCGCAGCAGCACAGACGGATGGAGAGATTCCTGCTTCCAGGAAAATGTACTGACAGAACATCTGACTGTTTACATGTACTAACCCAATATTACCTTTCTTCCATTTCCATCTCAATGTCATGTTGAACTCTAACATAAGGTAGCTAGTGTTGCACAGAGACGGCAAAAGTACATACAACCTTAATCAAGTAGAAGTACAGATACTTGTGTTTATAAATACTCTGGTAAAAGTAGAAGTACTGACTAAACTTCATTACTCAAGTAAAAGTAAAGAAGTATGGGCTTTGAAATGTACTTAAGTAAAAAGTACCCATAACTAGCAGCTGTTTTAAAGAGTACCTGACCTCCCTTTATATTAATAGAACAATAATGTCAGTGTTAGCTAATGAATGTTTCGATGCTGAACAACGGCAACATGACAACGTTTTCATTGGTCCCTCTTCTTTAGAGAAGACCAGGAAATGATGGATACACGGATCGTGTTCAAATCAATAGGCACGCAATGACTCTAAATAATAATGATCACGCCACCAAACACACATTCAAACTAAAGTAACAAACCTGTTTTGTAAGAAGTAGAAAGTACAGGTGTTTGTGTTCAAAATGTAAGAAGTAAAAGTAAAAAGTCGTTGTGGAGTAAAGTACTGACACCAGAAAAATGTACAGTAACAAAGTATTTGTACTCCACTACTTCCCACCTCTGGTGTTGCAGGGCTCAGTCTGTCACCATTTACAGTATTTAATTACACGGTGCTAGGATGTAAAGACAAGCTTCTAATCAGCATCATGCTATAGAAACATGATTTCCACTACAGTGAGATCCCCCTCCCTGTGTGGTCGCTCATAAAGTCTCCGCTCTGCTGGACCACAGAGGGCTGGGCCTTCATCCTTGGATGTACAGCTATAGTACAGCACTGCCCTCTGAATCTTATAATTACAGACATAATTACATTCCCTGTATTTTTCTGGAGGGGCCACATTACCTTCAACTAAATACCTTCAGACATCACTGGGGCGATTCATCCCTTTCATGACATCTGAGTGCTTAATCTCTACAACTCTTAGTTTTCTTTTAATTACAAAAAGCTTTTCAAACCTTATGTGTCCATATGTCTACGATGACATCTTAAGGGCTACTTCTAAAAGGAATGAGCTCTATGTCTTAGCTATTATTTTGGACACATTTACACAAAATACAGTCTGGCATACGTGGACGTTTAGGAAAAATGCGGTTTAGACCAAAATAAAATAAAGTAAAGCTTGCCCAGGAAATACACATTTGCAAAGATGGAGCCTCTGGAATAGTTTAAATAATCTCAAAGCATTTTCTTACATACAACATATTTGTTTATCTCTAGGTGTAGGCATTACGTGTACAGAAATACAGAGTGTAAATGAGTCCCTCTGTATAAACATTAATTACATTTCTCATAATTTAAGTAAAGGTCAGTATTGTTTTTAGATGTTAGCAGCGTCAGAATAAGTCCATTTTATAAGAGGAAACTGCCAATACAACAAGGAAAACATATTATTACAAGTAAATGCTCTGCGTTATGAAAACGTAATGAAGGAATACGACAAAAGTATTTGTAGCAATGCGTACTTTTTGTGTCAAAAGCACAGTTATGCATGACGAAAGATTGCTGTATAATTGTATTAATATAACAATAGAGTTAAAGATAAGACTTCTTTAGTTTGTTCTGTAAAAATGCAAAATATTTTATAAACTGAAAATCTGTCTTGTTACCATAGCTAATAAGTAAATGTGCTTCTGCTTAACATAATGAAGTATAAAATAGCATAAAAAGCATACTAATATGCAAAACAAGATACTTAAGAACAAGCATCTTAAAATTACCATATTGTAATACATTTATCTCCAATACTACATGTTGTATTAATGAATTTGAAACCTCAAATATTACTCATCATATTGAGCTCTGATGTAAATGAAATTGGCTGTAGATGTTACACTCTTTATAACATCCACTTTAAATTGCAAATATAAACATATACTTACAGAATGTGTAATCCCGAGTTTATCTTGAGTTAGGAATACAGAGAGGAAGAAAAGGGGAGACAAAGTCCGGAGAGGAAAGTAAGAGTGAAGAGTTTCCGAGCATCCGCCCTCCCTGCTCAGTAATACTGACCGTTTTTTTACTCAGCCCTGAAAAGTCTGCTCACTGCGAAATGATGTCCATCCCTCTTTTTCTCCGACCTCCCACCACCACTCTTCATCCTTCTGCACTCATGGGGCGTCCATTTGGGATTCAACCTTTTTACTGTATATTATGAATTATGACAGGGAGGGAGCAGCCATGCAGAGTGATTCTGTACATACTTTTACACCATTATTTATTATATATAAAGAAATGCTGAACTGTCTTAGGAACGGAATTCATTTTGTATTAAAGTGTATTTTACCACAATGTGTGCTGACTTAAGTTAATTTAACTTCAGCCTGAGTTTTCAGCTTGACTCTCCCTGCAGAGATGTTGCAGAGAGAACATGAGTCCCATGTTTTAAGGAAATGTGTATTTCTGTCCTTGGCGGGGCGAATCCCAAAACTCCTCTGCCTCCCACTGAGTCCTCTCTAATTAAGTGCCCGTAGATTACAGCCTGTGTACAAGAGTAGCGCAGAGAGAAAGCAACCCCTTTCATCCCCAAACACATGTACAGGGCGAACATATAAACGGCACAGTCTTTTAGCAGCACTTATCTCTGGATACATCCCTAAATATGCAGGTTGACTATTTAAAGCTGCCGATGCGTTCTTTCTTATTTCATTCAGGTTCTTTTGACAGATGGTGTGAGATGTTGATGTTATAGCTGGTCAGAGTGGGCTTTCGTTGAGAAGGTAGCAATTGTGCAGGTTCAGAGTGAAAGAATCTTTTACACTATTACTGTGTCACACAATGTTATAGTTTTGAGTTTGTAATGCATGATGTAACAGAGACAGCATTAGTAGTGTAAGTTATTATTAGTGGCTTTAACACAAGAGTTGTTCCATCACTAACTGTCTTTATTTCAAGCTACTGCACTTTCAGTTCACTATCCATTTGGGGCCATCTACTTTATAGTTTGTGCCCCAGTCAATACAAGAGAATACGATTTAAAACAAAGGCATATTAAAACACCTGAACCAAATAATAATTGATCCCATAACAAAGTTTGATACAGCTGATATAAAAAAACAAATATTAAGATACAAAATGTTGCACTAGCTGACATGGTCCTTTGTTGCTATTAGCACTTATTTTATTTCGTCCGTCGCACATACAGTATACTATCCTGCTGCAGTAAACAGTCGATGTGTGACACACTCAACAGAGCACTAAATATGTATAAATCTGGAGCAATAAAAGGTTCCCAATAAATGCAGTATTTTCTTGTCGGTTTGCAAGTTTCAAAAATCGACAGTACACCGCAGTTTACGAGAACAAAAACGACATATACAAGCAATACCATTTTTTTTAAAGAATCAGGTATACCTATTGGACAGGCTGAGGAACACACATTGTTGGTCTTTCATTGAAGATTCAACTTACCGTCATTACGTAGTACAGGTACTACTACTAGTAACAAAACGGTTTCTCTGTATTTGACCCATCCTAGTGTTAGGAGCAGTGGGCTGCCATTATGTACGGCGCCCGGGGAGCAGTGTAGGGAACGGCGCCTTGCTCAGGGACACCCCGGTAGCACTTGGTCTTTCCGGGACTTTAACTGGTGACCTTCCAGTTGCCAAGCCCCTATGGACTTCGCCACCACCGCCCTTCATGAGGTTTGTTGACACGAAAATATAGGATAAATCGGAAGTTTGAGGTTTTATTTCTCTTAAGAGTCTTCCTGTTGGTTTCATTGCAGGTTCAGATTTGTTGTACTAAAACTGTGGACTTATAACTGACACAAAACAGTAATGATTGAATGCAAAAGATCAGGCCATTTTAAAAATTCTTTATTAATTTTTCTTATAATCAACGGAGGCTCTGCTTTTCTCATGGTGCATTATGGCAAGGTGCAGGGAACACAGACAAAGGGGAAACGTTTAAAACCCACCTCCCACACAAATACCCTCTTCAGCACAACCACAAAAGAAATAAAATAAGAAAATACGGTCATGTTATTTACAAAGCTTTCACTCAGTTTTTCTAGACCTAAATTACAAACATACATCTATCTTTCAACTGCACACTTCTCCAACCTACAGAGTCCCTTTGGATCGCTATTCACTACTACTTCTCATCTCCTCTCTGTGCCGACAGTGCTATAAAGAGTGGCGGTCTGATATACAAGATATGGCAGTATAACAGTTAGCACTCTCAGATGTCCTTATATTCTACGACACGCTGCTCCAAGAAGCCACGATGACTCAAAAAGCTTCTCGGTTTGACATTAGGTGTTTTGAATACCCGTATCCAGATGGAAAGTGTCAAAATGTCACCGTGCATTCTGCCAAACCCCAAGCCTGGTGTATTGTGGGATGGATTGGCAGGAGTTCATCACAGTACTTTAGGAGCAGGGTCGTCTGAACATAGGTATAGCACCTAGTGGTTTTAAAGCCGGCCACCTATCAACTCTTCCATTTACTACACATATCTACTCTCACAACAGTCCCCTACAAACACTTCCATGGTTACCTCTATGGCACTTTCAGGTCTTTACAGTGGTAACAAATATTGAAGGCAAACAACAGACTGAACCATTACCCGTCTCAGCTTCCCACTGGGAAACTAAACTAAAACATCGAGAGGAGCTTTATCGTAGCCGTCTGATCAAACCAGCTCAGACTGGACAACACAATGGTTCTTTGATATTCTGATAACTATACTGAACAGGGGCATCTGAGAAATAAACCATTAAAAAAAGTGGAAGTACTAAGAAGGATATTAGCACAGCTGGAACAAGAAACAGGCTAAAATTAACAGTGAAGCAATATCCCAACGATTCAATTCATCCAAGATGGAGGCTAGTCCTTTTCATAACCCTCCCCCAAATAAGAAACAAAGCAGGAACATCCTAAGTGACAGGTACCCAAAAGACCAAATACATGAGGCACATATTCACACACAATCTAGGCCTTTAAGGTCTATCATGAACAGTTTCTGAAGCAATCTCCAGTTTTACCACCAGAAGGTTTGAAATAGTCAATGTGTGATTACTTGTCGTCATGTCAATTCCTGTTTAGTTTGTTCAGAATGTACAGATCTGAGATGGCAATTAAAGCAAATGAACAGAGACAAAAAATAATCCCACTACACTTGACTGCAGCTTCTGAACACTGAGGTCGGTGTCTGTACCGGTCACAGAAACAAAGCAGAGCTGAGGTTGAAAATCCACAAAGTTGGTATTTTCAGTGGCAGCACATCGATGTCACAATAACAACCAACCAGTGCAACCGAGTCACGCCAGGACAGTGTTCACAGGAGGAGGAACGTTGCAGAAGTATTTTTCGCCGACACAACAAAAACTGCCAATAAGATTTGTGGAATGTGTTTGTCATTTTTTTTTTTTTTTTCAATAAGCACACGGTGCATGTTAATGAAGCTAAACAGAGAGGAATGCATGTTTACGTGGACTATTGTCACAGCCTGAATGACGGGAAGCGACAGGAATGAGGAGAAATGGCAGAAAGCAGGAGTTACTTTGTGCAGATTCAACACAGACAGCGGGAATCATATGTAATGTCTGGGTGCTTGGCGAAGACTGTGGCAGCTAAATCATTCTTCAACCTGAATTTATTTCCCCCTGATTACAGTTTGAGATCTTCCTAGCATAACCAAATTATTCAAATTATTTTTATCTCGCAGTATCGATGACCCCCTTACATAACCTGGTCTTCTGCGCTGTTTGCATTTTGACTCCTCCCACACAGAGAGAAAGAAATACTTTTGGGGGTGTAAACAAAAATGTCAAATTTGGCAACATTATCATTTTGGGCTATGGTGATATGAAACATTGATACTTAAAAAATATCTGGGTATGCATTTTGGCAAATGGGGACTATTTTCTTGGTCATATTTCTAAAATGCAAAGGACTAAGTTAGACCTTTTTTAGACAAAATAAAAAAACAACTGCCACATGATTAAAGGAAAAGGGTCCTTTGTCAACATAAAGAGTGACACGTCCTTATTCCATCTGAAGGAATGGAATTTAAACTTGGGGTCGGGGGCTGGCTAAGAAAAAGTTCATCTGGAATGTTGCTAGGGATCGTTGCTAGGCAGGCCTCCAACGAAACACGGTCCCCCTGCCAATGGAACGTCCTGAATTGTAGCGGGTCGGGTAAAGGGTCCCTAAATGGCAACTTTGGACATTTGATCTTCAAGTTTGATGATTCTCTTCTCCTGACTGCTGACCAGGTCCTTGAGGGATTTGATTTCTTTCAAGATCTCCTCCAGCTTGGCTTCAGACTTCTGTGGGAGACACAAGAGACGAGAAGTTTACACAAGTACACGTTGACATGTTGCATAATGCACATCCCAGACAACACACAAATACGCTGTTTATTTAGTAAAGGCTGTTAAAACTTAAAGATTTAATTTAATTACAGACGTCATTAGTTGTGCACAAAGCAAACAACCGAATACTTCCAGAAAATATAAACAAATTCTACGTTTTAAATTCAGAGGATGAGCAGAAGGAAATGTTTCTTTAAGCATCAGTTTGCACGGACTACTTTAAAGCAGATGTGTATTTCTGTAGTTGGCGTTAAACTGAGGAATTCTTTACCAAATGATTCAAAGGGCTGTATGAACATCTTTAGGTTTAAGAAAATGTATACAGTAAGAATAATTAGACAGTATGAAGATGTCGGGTAACATGTTTTGCTGATGGTAGATTGTTGTGTTGATTTTGATTCCTTGTTACTGTAAGTATTGGTTGTAAGCAGCTTGGATTGACAGGCCATCTATTTTTGAATAAGGGGCAGGTCAAAGAATACTTTCTTCTCCTTGCTCCTATCCATCATGGGCTACAAAAAAAAAAACAGCTTACAGTGTACATGTCTTGTTTTATAGTAATTGCCATGAGTGGAATCCAACTATAATAATAATAGTATTGAACAAATTTCACAATATTGCATTAGAGCCTTCCCAGTCTCAGAGTGTCGGAGGTTCAGGCCTGTGGCAGGGTCTGGCCCTCTGAGGGTTAACATGTTTGCTGGAGCTCAGTGGGCTGTGATTACAGAGCAGGCCTGCCTACAGACTCCTGGGCTGGGTCCCAGGCGGGCGGCTGTGTTGTGGGTGAGGTGCGGCAGGACGCCCAGCAACAGGCGCCCAGAGCAGAGCCAGACCCCTCAGTTTGTGGGTCAGAGAGTGGGCTGAGCAACATCTACAAACCACCTCCTGAGGTCAGCCAGCAATCTGCCCTCTGCCGACGCACACACTGTCTTCTTAACACTGAGCGCCCCAGAGAGGCTACTACAGAGAAGAGGCCAGAGGGAAGGGCATTAATACGTGAGTGAAAAGGGTGGGGACTATATGAGTATCACTGTATCTGTTCATGGTCTATCACCCTGATGGGAGTAAGTATTTGGTGGGGGTGACAAAGCTTGTACTTGTTCTTTGTCAGTTATCTTTTGATAAACAGCTGAAATCAGTTAGTGATTAGTTGATAACTCATCTGAATTATTATTAAAGTTTATAAAAAGGGATTTACTGCTTTTCTGTGTCTTATGGGACATTAACTGAACATCTTTGGACTGTCTGTACGTCAAAAGACACCGTATTAAAACGTCACCTTGAGCTTTGGGGAAATTGTAATAGTTCTCATTATTTTAATATTTACAAACTTGTCTTCTTACCACTGTGCGCCCAGAGAGGTAAAGAGATCAATTATAATTTAAAGAAAACTCTTTAAGATTATTATTACCAGGCATTTGATTGGTATCGCTTTCACGTTGTGTGTCATCATTGCATGTGTGTATGTCTATCTGTGTACATATGTTGTCACAGTGGTATCTTTACATCCAAGCCACCATGTAATCCTGAGATACATTCATCAACCACACAGATGTTATCAAATGCAAAGACTCACAATCGATGGAGTTGGGGAGGCAGACTTGTTGGCAGGGCTCGAGTTCTCTGTGTTCTTGGTCGCCTTGCCATCCAAAATGTTCTTTTTGACCACCTTGAATTCACGATTCTTGCCCTGGACGTAGCCGTTCTTGAGGGAGATGAGGATGGGGTCTCCGTTCTTGCCATCAAACCAATCCTCGGCCTCCAGGGCAGGATCAGGGCCAGATGTGTCTGGGTACAAGTCGTCCTGGAACAGGTCCGACTGACAGAGAAAGATAACGTGACAAGTTGTGAGAAAAGCTACACATTTCAAGAGAAAGCCTCCCCCGGACGCCAGTGATTCAACAGCAGATAAAAGGTCTGTACGTCTGCCATTCAGGATGAGGTCTCACCTTTCTGGGTACAGTCATCACGATAGGCTCACACTTCCTTTCGTGCAGTTTGAAGAACCTGTCGACAAAACACATTTAAGAATTACCTCACAATCCAATGATTTATTGAACAACAACAAACAGTGTTTTAGGACAGATTACTGGAGACTTCTCGAGAGGGTTTAAATATTTTGTCATGATCACACTCTGCCACCTAGTGGAGCATCTAGGGACTCGGAACAAATTCCTGTGTTCGAGATGATGTTTAAATATCCATCTTAGCTTACCTCGCAATTTCGCACTTATTGACATCAAGGCCCCTCTTGGGCATGTAGCCCATGCCTCTCTGGGGCTCCTTGGTGGTAAAGGTGCTGAGGAAGTGAACGTACGGAGCATGGTCTGTGATCTCAAAGTAACGGATGCTGCTGTCACCCTGTAAAGAATGAAACAAGTGTTTTATTTATGTATTTAGCATAAGAGAAAATGTGACTTTTGAGAAGTTGAAGAAGGAGCTGACCTTCCCACAGAGGTAAACAACACCGGTGTCTGGGTCGTAGAAGGGCAGCAGCACGCCGTTGCTGGTGTCCATTTCAGTAACAGTCATGGGCTCCTCCATGTTATTCTGAGAAAACAGAAGCATGATAAATAATGATGAATGAGTTCTGTTGAGAGACTGGGAAACAGAAAGGTCAGGAAAAATAATTGATTTGAAACAGTAAGAGGTGAAGGCATTCATGTCGCCCTTTCAAATCTGTGAATAATGTGGCAGTGGTCAAAGTCATAACGTTGGTGACATTGTGTTTATTTTTCACTTGTGTTTACCACTTCATTTAAACGGTTATTTGAAAGACTGTGATGGAATCCAGTACTGCAGTTCTTTAGACAACTATAAGACCTATATAAATATGTACCGTAATTCTCGGACTATAAGCCGCGCCTTTTTTCGACGCTGCGGCTTATATAACGGTGCGGCTAATCTATGGATTTCTACAGCTAACGGCCACTAGGGGACCTCCTACATCTATGGATTTTACAGGTTACAGTCCACCACCTTTAACTCTATGGGCTCTATGGCCGCTCCGCGACCCCCACCTTTAAGCGGCGGGCTCCAGCAGGAAAAGCTGGAGGCCATGGTCGAAGTAACATTGCCCAATTAAACTTTCCTGAACACTACTTAGGTCATGACGGTCACAGAAATCTGTCTGATACATTCTGAGTATATTTATACGTATGGCGATTAAGAGCGCTGCATATTCGGCGGCGGGAAAAAAGCTGCGACGCCAATGATATTGCCCACGCCGATTAGATACCTAACAGATGTCGATTGCCGGGTGATCCCGCTGGAGGATTTCGTCTAGATACCTAAAATGTCCGGAATGCGTCAAGGTGGTGGAAATTGAGATAAAAACCCGAGATTACCGGCGCAGGCGCCTGCAAGGGTTGGAAATTCGCGCCCCGAGGTCGTCCTTTTCGACGCTTCCCGGTCTTTTCTCACTCTGTAACAAAACTCGCGGCCGGTTTTCAATTTTGCACCTTGGCTCTCACCAGTAGCCTCTCCTGCTTGCCTCTCCGTTTCTGTTCATGTCTGTAATGCTCTGCTCGCTCTGTCAAAACAGGCAATGGGTGAGCCACCTTTTTGGTGACGACGAAATCTAGTGACGGCCGATGCCACGGCGACCCTGCGCGTGGCGAAATTCACAACTGATTTGCAACTATAAACTACTATACCGATCTTCAGTGATATCAACCTCCTACGGAACGACTGGATTCTATAAGTAGTTGAGTTGATGTGGACTGATCGATCATACATGACTTGTACTGTTAGTTTCGGAACTTAGAAACCGTTAGGACGGTGGTTGTTTTAGTATGAATTGAATCTTCCACGTTTTAGAATTATCGAGTTTGTGAAATGAATTTTATGGTTTTCATTATATAATATAAGATTTACGACGACGGATAATAGTGAACAAGGAGGAAATGTTAAGTGAGAAATCCCGACGCTGTTGGTCTAGTGTAGTACCTTGCACCCGGTGTCCTCTCCGCTACTAGTTGGGACCTTCTCGTACGTGGGCCTACAGTAGATTGTCGTCGCTGTACCAATTGGCGTTGCCTACTCGGACTAGACTTGGAGCGACGTTCCTTTACCGGCCGTAAGGCACAAGTAGCCTTGGGGCGGTTCCTCAATTGCCAATAGCGGGGTGACATTCTTGGAAAGTCTGTAAAGATAACACACCGACACTGTGTAGAGAAAATTATAGTACAAACATAACTACTATCGAATTATATAATTGTGAACGTCATCTCTCCCCAATTTGGTATCGCTGTAATAATTCGGGGATCTACCCGACGAAGTCACGATGAATAAATGACATTTTTGAACAACGAATTCTACTGTGACTTGTGACACATACGTAGAATAAACCGTCACACTGGAAATCCTCTTTGGAGACATCTACGCTCGGGCTTGTTTTACGCGGACACCGAATACACAATCACAACCACAAAGTTGTTTGTCTTTGAGTTTACAAGATCACCCGTGCGATTCCTGTTGGTTTGACGAGCTCCTTATCACTGAACACTCGTGTCTCGTTCACCAATACGGACACTTGAACAGAAGTGTCCTCTCCTCTTCGCAGGGTGTACTACCCCGAGCCTGGCGTACTCCCGTCGTATGAAGGACTCGACTACTCGTTGTAGGAGATTTGTCACAAAAGTCGGCTTACTTTGATACACTCTCCGTCGAGAGGGAAGAACCTTGGCGTCCCTATTCGAGCAGCGATAAGGACGATGATGTACAATTCCAACATATTAATATAAATCATTGGTTATATGCATTAAAATCCTGATATTCCGGCGTAAGACTTAATATTCGCGTCGTCGATTTTAACTTACTACTACAATAGTATATATCGGGGCGTGAACCTGAATATTCGGCGTTCCCACAAAATACAAATTAATGGTTACATTCCCAAATCACGGCGTGGTCCTCGCCCTAACAAGTCCACTTTCTCTACCGGGAACAAACTCTTCGAGGTAAATAATTCGTAAATTGTTAGTTCGAACGATAAAACGTATTGCAAGTTCACCAAATCAGTAAATCACGTTATCAATCGATGTCTTGTACAATGACACGGTACATACATTGACATGACATAGTGTTATCGCAAAGTCTGTGTTGTTGATAAGTTGAAATATGGGATTGAATTTGTTTTTTTTTTTTTTATTTTTTCCGACGCGGGAGGGTCGGCGTGCATGGCCGTTCGACGTATAGATGTCGTCACCAAAAGTTGGTCACCATGTTACCCGCTGTTGACAGGCGAGAGCATACAGAAGACCAGAACGAGAGCCTAAGACAGAGGGAGCATGGTGGAGAGCCAAGTGAAGCAATGAAAACGTCGGTTCGATGGACAGAG